AGACGCATCTTTCGAGCAGCTACTCCTGTGATTCGGTTTCCTAATTTATTATTTGTCACCAGGAAGTTAAAAATTAATGTCCAGAGCTATATAGTATATGCTTTTGGGGCAAGTGATCTTAGGGATGAGTAAGGTATTAAACAGTTTAATACCTCTTAGGTTCTCTGTTGATCTGGAAGTTGGTGCCCCAGGAGGGTTTCTGAATGACCTTGTTTGTACCCTTGCCATACACAGCTGTTGAAAAACAAACAGACAAAAACCCACAATGGAGAATCACTTGATAAAAGCTGTGGTTAAGTGTGAGGCTGTCCTTAGAAACTAGTCATGTTTGAATACTCACGGGGTGCACAGGGTGCCAGAATGTTTGTGTAGGACCTATGGACCTTATTGCCGTATGGTGAGTCCCTGTTAAAGGCTGGGGTGCGACCAGGTGAGCAGCTCTTCCCACACAGGAAAACCTGAGCTCTCTGTCCTGCTAAACCATCCGTGGCTGGTTCACAGAAATACTCTCTTACTTTGTAAACACCTTGCTACTGGTTTTCAGAGAGCATCTTGCATGAATGTAAGTAGGACTTTAGTTTCATAAACATTTTGGAGCTTAAGTCTGAAAAATAAGATTCATTGTGCTTGTCCTTCTGTCCTGACCCTGGCAGCAGGATTGTTAACGTGCAGGACTTAGCACACCTTCGTTATGATGCAAAGAAAGGTCTGTCTTTTTTTAAAAAAAACCACCCACTTTTTTTCCTTTCCCCCTTTTTAAAAAAAAAAAAAAAATTCTCAGAGCTATTGTTTAGAAACTGTTTTGAAGTGTAGCAAATTGACTAAATATGGCTTGGTCTCTGTTTCCTTGCCAGCCAGCTTGGGACAGTTGTTCTTGGAACTGGTGCCAGAATCCTTAAACACAAATTTGGAAAGTCTGGTATTTGAGGAGAGCTGATGTGTGGGATGCAGACGTTCAGCTGTTCAGTTGAAGAACTGAAGTAGCCTTGCCGAGGGTGACATTGATTAAATCCTCTGAGCTGTTTCAGACACGTTTTTAAATTGGAATACACTTGGGCTGTAGCCCTGGGAAGAGCCGAGCGCTCTCTCGCTGGTGAGCCTTGCCTGAAGAATGCCAGCGTTTGAGAGAAGCTGCTTGTTGAGATCTTTGAACTGTAAGTGGCGTTTGCTTTAATGATTGATGGGCTGTGAGGACGCTCCGCCGTTGATGTTTTTTCTTTGCGTGTTTGCTGCACTGAGAAGGTGTGGGTTGCCGGACTGTGGTAAAACACTGCTTTTTTGGCCTTAGAAATTTTCTGGAAGTGCATCTCTCTACCTTTCAAGGCTTTCCATAAAACCAGCTGGTGTATTCAGCCTCTCTGGCAGTCTGACACTGGAGGTGATCCATCTCTCTGCAAGTACCGTAACGCTTGGGCTGGGACGGAGCCAGTGTGGGCTGGGGCTGCAGCCACCCGGGCGGACAGGACGGGACAGTGCTGCGAGGCAGCGGCGTTCGCTGTGGCAGGATGGATTCCGAGTAACAAAACAATTCCATAGCAAGAAAATGGATTTTCCTCTGCAGAGGAGTGGTTGATTTGCTGGTGGTGAAGGGAACTCTGGCTGTTGGTGATGTTAGCAGCTGTAGTGGAGAAGGCAGCTAGACTGTGCTGTCTGTCACAGGGTGTGCCTGGGAGGAACCGTGCTTCCCTCCACCGACCCCTCTGCACTCAGCTACCCAGGGAGTTGTGGCTGTCCCAGCACAGCCCCTACTCCCGTCACTCCATCCCTGTGTGCCTTCCTCATACCCAGTTCATGGTAGTTTCTTGGTACCTCCTTTTCTTTTAAATGCTGCTGATACTCACCCTCACCCTGTGTGTGTGGGGGTTGTTGGGTTTTGGGGGTTTTTTTCCCCACTAATTTTTTCCCCCCTCCCTTCTGGAGAAGGGATGGAGAGTGTGGGGAATACAGGAGGCAAGAAAATAGAAGGATAAATTAGTTTAAAGTACTCTGACTTAACTCTGTCTGTACTTTAAAAACAACCTTGAAGTTAATTCCTACCAACAATTTTATTGCTCCTGTGGTAGATTAATGAGAATAATCATCTGGAGATTGGTAACTGGCTGCAGGTTAGTGATCCAAGGCATACTTTCATCCAGTCAGTGGCTTATTCCTCAGCTATGTTCTATGCTAATAGCCTTTCTGTTGTTTTTTTAGTTGGTTTTAGCAGGTGGTTGTATGTTTACTACAAACAGGGCTTTTGTGGGTTTTGAAGTGTGTGTATGTGTACATACACATGTATATATTTGTGTATGTATGTTCACCCATGTATATATCTTTGTAAATGTTTATATACACGCACTTATGTAGATTTTTATATACAGAAAAAGATTGCCTTACCAGCAAGTAGAAAGTCGTGGCACTTGCTGTGGGACGTACGCAGATGACACAAAGTGCTTTGAACAGTTGAGCATCTGGGAAATGCCAACAGCAGCCCGTCAGAATGGGCTCAGTCACTTCCAGGTTTGTTGTTCTGGGCAGAGGTTTGGTCTGCTGGGGAAATTCAGACCTGTCAGAAAAAGGCAGTTGGGTTTGGGTCTGTTGTTCCTGTCGTGGTGATGTCGCTGGTGTGCCTCTTTGGAGCAACCTACGCACTGAGCGTTGGGATGCTCACCCCAGAGGGAAGGGGGAGAACCTCCTGTCTGCTCTGGAGCACCAAGGAATGCTTTGTTAGCCCCCAGCATCTGGACAGTCAGCGATCTCATTGCAGAGTGCTTAGTTCTAGTTAGTTTTATTATCTTAATCAGCTTTATTAGACAGTGAGGGAGAGAAGGCAATGACTTAACTCAGTCTAATCCGTGCAAATGCTGGATTTGGGTGTGAGTAGGGTATTTCTGGAGACTGAGGAGGAGGGAAGCTGTCTTTATGAATGAATGGGATCTCTGTCCTCAGAATGTTATAAATACCTGAAAAAATAAACGGTTTGTTTCAGTCAGAGAGCTTTGCCTGTTGTGTGTGTGACTAATTACCTCCTGAGGCTTTAGTCTCTGTTTCCTTTGAATCTCACAAATGTCGCTGTGCTCTGTTTGGAGCTGGGATGCCCTGGGTCTGCGTGGCTCAGGTGTGTGGCTGAGACGCTGCTGCCAGACTCGGTCTCGTTGCTCTCCAGACTAAACTCACATCTGACTTCAGTCATTTCTGTCCAGCAAAACAGTGCTGTTGTGTTACACGAGAGCAGCAAACTCGGGTTTTTCACGTATGTGGAAAGTGGAAAAAACTCAATGGCTGCATTTACTGTTATCTGTGTGTTTCATAAAGATTCTGTCTGTTGCTGGTGACATTTGTGATTTAGTTTTGCATGAGCCAGTAGCAAACCCATGGAAGTTGTCACGGAATGAAATCTGTATTTGTTTTGTATTTCATCTTGTCCCCCCAGAAATCTAGGCTCAGCATCAGGAAAGAAGATAAGAACCTTGCCTGTAATAGCAGGGCTTCCTGACAGATTTACTGCTTTAATCTTTACTTTTTGTGATTCTCTCTTGTCCCCCCAGCCCCCATTTTGCAGGAGAGCTCAAAGTAGGTTATAGAAGAAACAGACAGTATGCATGCATATTTTTAGAGCATCTGTTAGCCTTTTGCTGAGCCAAAGCTCATCATGCCGATGTAAAATACAGATTCTACTAAACAGGCAGTTCAGTGCATGAAATGATTTAATGAATTTAGGCATCTCCCACGATGTCACTGAAGAAAAATAAGTTTTTCCTCACGGATTAAGAGCCATCTTCTGTTTGCCTTAAGGTTGATAACATTAGTAAGTGGTATGTGGTTATTGATCATTACTAATGCTAATAGTTACAGCAGTGTGTTTGTGTGAACACCAATAAATTTTTAGCATAAAGAATCTTAATCCTGTGAAGCACTATGAACAAAGAACTCGTTCTTAACTTATACCTGAAGAAAACAAGTGAGCATAGTACCTCTAAGATTGCACAAGAACATGGGTCAGTAACCCTTACTATTTTTTTCCCCTGCAAAGTGCCTGGAGCATTGAGGGGTTTTCATTCATTCAGCAGTTGGTGCACAACTTTCGGCATCTTTCTGGTTGTGTCTGGCTGTAGAAGTTCTTTCTCTTTGTAGAAGCACCAAGACATGAGCATGGCTTTCAGCTTCAGTGGCCCAAGGCTGGGTTCCAGTTAATCTTCCCACTAAACCTCTGTGCTATTCTGCAGCTTACTGATCTTGGAGGCTTGAATAGGTAAATTTTTCCTGAATTTAAAATACAGTTTAGCTCACAGTAACCCAAAGGATAGACATTGCATGGAAATAGAGCAAATTTCAGAGTAAAGAAAGAAGTGCATGTAAATGGAAAAATGTATAAATTTGTGTCGGATTCTGGCTGCTAGGCTGTCGCCTGATAGTTACGTTGCTGCTCATCTGGCTACTTTTTAAATTAATTACTGTTATGAATCTGAAAGTGCTAACATGATTCATCCTTTTCTGCTGGGAGGTCAGCAGGGATTTAACAGAAATCAAGTGCTTGCGTCTTGGAAGTGGTGTTGGTGACACTGTGTAAGCTGTATTTCACAATCGGAAGTTAAAGTCTGAACAGTCATGGTGGTTTATGAGTTTGAAGCCACCCTGCTTTTCTTAGGTCTCTGGAACTGCTGATGGGACTAAGATTCCCTGGTTCTGCTGTGAATTTGATCTTTGCCATCTGTGCATTGAGGTGGTAACACTTCTGGTGCACATGAAGCTGTAAAAGTGGTTTAACCAGACGTACGTTATCATAAGCTGATGGAATACACAAATCTGATAAGGTTGCTGTAATTAACTTATCTTTCAGGAATGGTTAAAAACTAAGTGCATTTCTTTTTAGTTTTTTTGTTTTGGTTTGAAGTTTGTAAATCCTTTTATATATGCAGACATGAATTTGGCCAGGTCTCCAGTAGAAAGCTGATCTAAAGAAATGGAAGGGAGAATCCACCCACTCTTTTACTCATGTGTTTTATTTGCTTCTGTTTCAGTTTGCAAGTATGCCTGCCACAGGAAATGTGAAGAAAAGGTAAGCATATTTATTTGCCTCCCTTCTTGCTGTTGATCCACATGTATTTGAAGTTAGACTACAAAAGCTATGTCAACTAATTAAGAATAAGGTTATTATTATACCAGATGCCTAACTGTCAAAAAAAAAAAGATTTTTTTTTTCTCTTGCTGGGATATTGTTCTTGCCATTAAAAAGCAAGTCCCTGTGTAGTCAAAACATCAGAACTAGTGGTTGAATTTCTCATTCCTCCCACAGAAGGACATGTTTGTAATTGAAAACAGCAAGTTAAGTGGGTGAAATACAAACCATACAGTATATCCAGAAAAGAAAAAAAATCTATCAGTAAGGTGTATGTGTATATATCTATCTATATATATATATATCTATATCTATCTAAATCTTATAGCAACAGAAATTTAAAGGCAGAGTTTTGGCATTGGGTTATGAAAAGTATGAACGTATTATTATATTAAGCGGATAGATTAGATCTAAATATTAATAATATTAAGATTATTAATATTATTATCTTAAGAGAGTAGATTGAGATGAGATGTAGGGAAGAAATTCTTGGCTGTGAGGGTGGTGAGACCCTGGCCCAGGTTGCCCAGAGAAGCTGTGGCTGCTCCTCCCTGGAAGTGTTGAAGGCCAGGTTGGATGAGGCTTTGAGCAACCTGGTCTAGTGGAAGGTGTCCCTGCTGCTGGCAGGGGGGTTGGAACTGGGTGAGCTTTGAGGTGGGTCCCAACTCAAACCATTTGATGATTATTAATTTATTTTCAGTGTCTGCTATAGATAGTTTCCATCCAGTTCAGTTTCATTGCTAGATTTTTGTTAGTTTTTAAAATCTCCAAGTCCCTTTCACAAAAGGTGAGATCAGTATTTCCATGGCTTCAAATGATTTAAAATTTCCTGTTCCTTAGATTTGTGTAAATCAAAAACGCTTACAGAGTGTCGCAGCCTAAACCTAGCAGTGCTGGAGGGCTTTATTTTACCAGAACCACTCATGGGATAATATTCCCTGCTTTTAACTAAAGCTTTTGGTTAGTACTTGCTATCTCTGAAGACAGCATTTGTTAAGAGTTAGGACGCTGAGCTGCTGGAGAACACGAATGTAGTCCTACAACCTGTGTGATTGACTGGGTGTTTGGCCTTGTGCAAGAATTGTTTTGTTTTGGTGCTTCCAAGAAATATAACTAAATTCAAGAGAAGAACCTCTACCTAGTGAAGGACTTGGAGATTTCCCCAAATGACCTGACTAGTAAATACAAGTGTCAGTTGGCTGAGCTTTTCCGATTTTGAGTAAAAATGATCCATGTGCATTTGAAAGTCGCTGTGTTATGTGGGATGCTGTATAAATGCAGAAATTTGTTTTTTCATTTAATAGGTTGATAAAGGATGTGCAGTGGTAATTAAGTTTGTAAGTAAGGTGTTACCTTTTGAAGATTTTAATCACTGTATACATTCAGTAACGATTAGTAGCGATACTATAGCAGTGGTGGTCCAGAAGGGAACAGTTTAGCACAACAAAGTACTTTTTATTAGACCAGGTGATGCAGCTGATCCCTCTTTGAACAGTCACCGTGGTTCTCCAGGCAGCACTTGCAGTACAAAATTCTCTGAGATTGCGTGGGGAGGAATCTGGTTTGTTGGTAACACTGGTAGCTTGCAGGTGTGCTTGGGTAGGTGCTATATGGATTTGGAGTTTCTAGAAGTGATCATGCGTAAACAATGCTGCAGACTGTGGTAAGGACTTCTTTAGACTTGTTTCATACGTGTGCCATATGTTAAAAATGAGAAACTATATTTCAATGAGTATTTATGCTCTTGGGTGTTTGGGTGTGGAGTGTCGAAAAGACTAATATATGGAGTGCCAAAAGGATGTAGTAGCATAACTATTATTAAGATACTGGTGTATTTTATGGGTTTTGAATAATTGAGATTACTAGCATGTATTGCAGAAGATAGAAAAATGAGGTATGGGAGCAAGACTAAGTAATAAATTATTTCTTATAAGAGACTATTTTTTCTGATCTTTTTTCAGTGGAGTAGTAAGGCAACAAGTAGCTTAAATTCAGAATTTTTCTATGAATCTTTTCTAACTGCTTGTGTGAGGCTCACAGCAAAGTGGTGTATAATTTTGTTACATCATTCATCCTGATACAGATCTGAATTTTACTTTTCTTGCCTAAACTAGTGTCTGTATTTTAATTTGGTTATCAGTTTAAGGCAGGAATGATTCAGGTCATTTTTAAGCTGGACTGTGTCTATACTAAGACCATCTAAGGAAGTTGCAGGCAACCTCGAGGCTGTAGCCATAATCATACACGCTGATTCAGATCCATGTCTGTAGGAAATTGTTTCATGGGCTCCAGCAGATCCACGAGTATCTTTTCTCTCTAGGATACATTTTCCTTCCCTGAATTTTCTATGAAACCACCCTGTCCACAGCTTATGGGAAGTAACTATTTTTGCATTAGCTAAAAATCCCCCAAGAAAAAAACGTGTGAGCACTTATTCAGCTGACAGTCATGTGGACAGGGGGTGAATGAGAACAAAGGACGTGGCACTTACGAGATGCCGGAGTCATTTTGGAAAGCAGTGATGCATCAGCACGGTAAAGCATTTCCCAAAAGGCTGCTGGGGTCATGAGTGTTCATAAAAGCGCTGTTTGGTGCAAGTCTGGCCATAGAGCACCATAATGAAACAGATAATGTCATGAATGTGTTCAGGTAAAGCAGCAGCTCAGGCCTTAGACTGGCAGCATTACAGTGCAGGTTTTCAAGGGTTTGTCAAGACAATACCTCTGTCCTGCTTGCAAATGAGAACCAACAGTTTCTTCTTCTATGTGTCATCCATGAAAATAAAGTTTATGAGGACCTGAAAATAAAATGGTCCCTGCATTTGATCAGAAGGTACCAATGAAGGAAGAGTCACGTTTTTTGAATTGTTCGAGGTGTCAGCTGATGCCTTGTAGGATGAACTCTGAACTGGTTCCATGAGGGTTTTCCAGTTGCCCCTGACGTAACAGTGAGTAGAAAATAACAAAGGCAGACAAGCGTTGCAGTAATACTTAAAACCTAGGGCACAACTGAAAGAAAATCTGAAGTTACAAAAAACCTAAAGATTAGTTTACACCAGTTTAGGCTTTTGCATTTGGTGCAACTCTGTCACCTGCAGAAAGATGATAACATTTGAAATCATGTTGCATAAATCCACTGATGGTGCAGATGGACATCAGCGGGAAAATTAGGTGAGTTGTAAAAGGAAGGAACCCAACAGGAAAAAAAAAAAAGGCACCAAAAGCCCAAACTCCGCTCTCTTGGAATTGTCTGTGGAAAGAAAAACAAACAGAAAAGTGAACATAGTGGATATCTGGATATGAAACCTTGAGAGATACATCCATCTCTGTCAGGTTGCTGTGTGCAACCCCGAGCCCTGCGGGTGTGTGGCTACAGGGGTGAATTAATGGAAACCAAGGATCCACAAATTCAGACCAGATGTCAGGAAGTGGTGTTTCATGCAGAAAGCAATGCACACGTGAACAAGACTCCCTGGCAAGGTTGTGCAGATGAAAAGCAGCGAGGTGACTGAGGGCTGAAGTGATCTCATTGTGTCCTGGGAGATGGAGCTCCAAGGGGGCTGTGCCGTGAAGGGGCTGGTCGATGCGTCTGCTCTGAAGGTGTCCCTCGAGTCCTGGAGCCGGGGTGGGCCCTCATAACCTGTTTGTGAAGCTGCCTGTGGAAGTACGGGGTTTCAGCACAGTGTTGTCCTGCTGATGTATGTGTCTGCTCATCAAGGAAGCCCGATGAAGCAGCTTCTCTGCATGCTGATGGGAAGGAGAGCCTGACAATGCTGCCCTGCTGCACTGGTGCCGGGGCCCCGGACCATAGGACTGCCTCTCCTGATGGTGGGAAGCCCTCATTAACTTGTCATTGACCTTGCATAGATGAAGCTATTGTAATGTGTTTGTGTTTGCAGCAGGCTTAGCTAGGACTAAAGCCAACCTTTCACATTGTTGTGTTATACCAGCATATAATGTTATCTCAGTTTGCTATAAAAAAATAATTATTTTTGGTACTTTAGTTATCTGTGCATTTTTCCTTCAAAATGATGGGGGCAGAAAACCACCCTGGAGGAAAGTGTTTGCTATTCCTGGATGTACTGTATTTTAAACCGCTCTCTAAAAGGCAACGTTTTTGTTTTCACTCTGGAAAACATCATAAGGATGAATTCTGAAAGAATTTTGTTTTGCTGTACAAGTCCCAGTTCATTTAGGTAATTACTACCTTGTATGGCCTCAGTCCGTGCGTGTTTAACTTGGAAATGTTTCCGTAGGTCTGTTTGTCAGATGTACATATCTAATTAGTGTTCCCTGAGGTTTCTGAAGCTGCAGCGTGTCTCACGCCCCAGGGCTCTGCTCTGGGTTTTGTGCTGGGAACTCGAGTCCCCTTTGTTTTGTGGCTTTGTCTCTGCGTACGATGTAGGAGCCCTTGTTTGTCCCACCACAAGGCTCTCCTGGGATGCCACTTTTTCCGTCTTTTGCTCTGTCAGTCAGGTACGTGGTGTAGAGCTGGGCCATCATCTCGTGACTCTAGCCAGACTTTGTGCTTTGAAGTCTGGGAATTTGGAAAGCGTTTCCTGTCTCCTCTCCTGTGGGGAGGCTGAAAGCGGGAGGGGAACCTCTTGGCTATACTTTCTTGATCTGTTTCTTGTATGTGAATTCTCCCTCTTGAGAACAGACTGATTAAGTTTGTCAGCAAATGCTTAAATTCTCTTACAAGCAGTGAGCTGAAGTATTTGCCGAAGCCTGTTGCCGAATCAGGTGTGATCAACTTTGTGCCTCTGCCTAGTGGACGTTGCACGCATCCTTATTTAACCTGGAAGGTTAATTCCTGTCCCCCCCCAAGTCTGGCGTCTCCATGAACAGAGATCTGATGAAAGGCACTGTAATTCCTGGTAACTGCAAAGTCCCCTGGACCTCATCAGAAATTCCTCTTATCTGAATTTAACGTTGGTGCAC